TGGACCCAGACTGGCGGTGGGAGTTCTGGGGGAGCATCTGTGACGCCACTGTTGTGTCATGGGTTCTGTGGGGGAGGGGGAGCCAGCACCTTCCTCCTGAACACTGGTAGGGAGGTGGCCCCAGGCAACAGCAGCCTAGCTGGCATCCTCGCCTTGTCAACAAGTCTGGGTCTGCCCAGCCCAGTGTGTGCACAGGATGGGACCTCTCCCCAAGCAGGAGGACCCAGGTTCCCAGGGAACAGGCTGGGGTGGGCCTGGGCCTGCATGGGCTGGGGCCTGGCAGCCACACACTCCCCCTCCCCCCATGCACCTCACGTGCCTGATACACATGAGTCCACCAGTGGCCTAGCTGGCTGCTTGCTCCCTGACGGAAGCTGTAAACTGGGGCTGGAGGTGAGCCCCAGATGCAGCAAGACAGGGTACCCCCTCCATGGCCAGCTACCCAGAGGGAGCGAGCAGTTGGACCTGTGGACTCGGGACCATGGTCACAGGGGACATTGAGCTCAACTGGTGTAACATACTACACAAAAACATTGTTCCACCTCCTACTTTGGCAAGTAGAGACAGGGATCTTTAAAGCTTGCAAGCAGCTGTCTAGATGCCAACGGTGGGGCTCCTCGGCCAGAGCCAAGAAGAATGAAAAAAACCAAAGACACATGGAAACAATGACTCAAAGTGACTGGTATACCATGCAGTCTTCAGCCTGTATGAGCATGAGACAAGAAGAACTAGATGGTGCCCGACTACCACTTGCCAACCACTCAGACAGGGATCGGTGTGGGAGATCCTGGATAGAGCAGGAAAACGATGTGGAACAAAACTCAAAATCAAAACAAAAAACAAGAACAGGTTTGGTGGTCTGATGGAGCCTGCTGAGACCTCTGAGACTGGCCCCTAGTGACCCTTCACCTCTGGAAGTGAACTCACTCCTGTGGCTTCCCGCCAAACAGGCATATGAGCTGAACATTTACATCAGGTAGATACACTCCTTGAAGCGATCAATCATGGGAGAATAGAAGGGCTGTGTTTGCACAGGGAGACAGCTCAGGGCAGGAGTGCATGGGAGGGAAGGACACAGGGAAGAGGTAACTGTCAGGAGAAAGCTGTTACATTGTGGGGAGTTGCAGTCAATGTCATGAAACAAAGTGTATGAACTGCTGTATGGAAAATGAATTTGCTCTGTAAACTTTCACCCCAATCACTATAAACATTAAGAAAGAAAGGGTTCCCCTGTGTTAGACACCCCAGCGGGTCTTCTCAGCCTCCACAGTGGAGTCCCAGCACCTGCATGTGGCCCACAGTGCCAGGCCCTGTGGTCACTGTGTGCCCCTGTGCCTTCCGTTCATGCCCTTCCTTCCAGGGCCTGCCCTGCCCTCGGGTCCACTCCTCAAACTCCTACGCATGCAGCGGCAGCCTGACCTCTGTGCCCATGGCAACACCTCCAGGCAGTTAGTCACTTGGCCTCCATGTTCCAGAGTCTCTGTGGAGACACCTTTGTGCCCTGCCATGCTGAGCTGTTTACGTGGGCACACTTCCTCCTGGTCCCTCTTGGTGCCAGCCCAGCCCAGCGCCTGGCACTGGAGCCTGACAGATGCTTCCTGACTGAATCCAAGTTCCTCATCAGGGAGGGGCCCACTGGGCCGGCCCTGCCTCCAGCAGCCTGCAGTCCAGGGACAAGGCTTGAGCCACGCTCCCACGCGCCAGGCACCACCTCCCCTCAGGTCTGCACTCCCTGATGGGCCCTGGTGAGAACGGAGTGTGGTGGTGGCGGCAGCTTCACAGGCAGCATTTGGTCACTCAGGAAGAAACTGCAAGTCCACGTGTCCCGGCCAGACCCCGAGAGGGCATCAGACCACCCCATCTCCCCACAGCCACAGGGCCCTCCTGGTGTCTGTCCTCCTGGCCAGCCTGCCCCCCACCTCTGCCCAGAAGGATGTCTGCAAGGAGACATGTAACCAGGAGGCAGAATGCCTGAGGGAGCCCAGACCACTGCCTGCCTTCGAATCCCCACTCTGGCCTGTGTGTGTGGGGGGCAAGCCCTTCCTCTCTGGGCCTCAGTTTCCCCATCTGTAAAATGGCAGTACAGTATCCTCACTGGGTGACGAAGAGGGGCGGGGTGTCAGCTGCCACTCCAGGTCAGCCCCTTGAATGAGTCGGGTGGGGGTGAGGATTCTATGAACGGCATTCAGAGCCTAAGTGGGCCATCGGGGACCAAGCAGATGTTGGCCCTCATTGCTCCGACACCTCAGCCTCTTCTCCCCGAATCCTGGCACCCACTCAACAATGAGGATGCCAATGCTCAGAGAGGTGAAGTCACCTGCCCAAGGTCACACAGCCCAGCCGGAGGG